CATGATACCAGTCTCCTTAAACTTTTCTCTGAGAGAAACCCGAGAACCTAGACGGTACACAGAACGAATCGCTCGTTTTTGCAATACAAATATGGTTTGAATATCTGCCGCTTTACCCCACATGAGAATCCCGTAGGACATTATACTATGGAAGTAACTAAAGTAAATTAAAGTAAAGATGGTTCTGCTAAATACCAACTAGCCACACTGGATTCACTAAGAAAGCGTGCCAACAGGCTTATAGGTAACTTGGATGTAGTAGACGCAAAGCTGCAGAGCCTTGGACACCGCAATAAAGTTGCCTTCTTATCAGTATTCTACAGGATATATTACGGAGAGTGTGCGATAAAATCGCATGAATTAATTCGGCCTTCCCCATTCCATCATCGTGGAACTAATCGTAGGCTGAGGTTCCAGACCTATGTTGTAGATATTCCAAAGGTTCGCACTATGGATGTATCGTTGAAATAAGCTTATTCCAGCGGCACCATTCCTCAATCTCTTGAACCACAGTTCCTAACTTACTGAATGCACTAAAAAAGTCGTGATTTAGCCGAACTGTAAAGGCACTCCTTTACCTGTGAAATTCCACTGAATTCCAGACTTGTTCCCCGAACGTTATAACTAGGGTCTTTTCAAGACGTGACTGAATAGGCATTATTTAAGTGTGTATGCAATTACGTGAGATGGAAGTCAAATGCGCACCTATTTCTTAAAAAAATAGACGCTTATAGAAGCGATGCAGAGGCGCTACTGTGGCGCCGCAGCCAATTTATTGCAACAAAGTCTGCGAAGTACTGGAGAGATTTTGTCACTTGCTTATCACACCGACGTCTTCTGGCATACCGTGCCAGACGCTACGCTTTGTATTTGGTTTTTCAACAACTTTTTCTAACTCTATGAAAGTTTTATCACCCAGTTAGATACCTTTACAGCTACCGGCCCTGGCGAGAGATGTCGCTATTCACTGTATCTTAAATTTTTATTGAATTGATATTAAATTATTTTTTGTGAAATAACTCCACTAGTTAAGTAATTAATACAAAGATCGAACACTCACAAAAAATTCTTTCGATCCGGCCGGATTCGAACCGACGTCTTCAAGCATACCGTGCTAGACGCTATACCAACTAAGCCACGGAACCTCTATAGTGGACCTCATAAATTTTTCCATATTAGTATTTCTATATTATATTTGCCAGTTACGGTAAGCGCTCTAGGCTCTGTAGCCACTACGACCCAGAAAGATATATAGCGGTCATTACCCTCATCAATTACATCTCGTCCCTTAGGCGAAATTTTGTCATGAATGATACTAAGGGACTTAAATTTTGACATCTTCCGGAGTCACAATATTGATATATCGAATAAGGATAACATATACCTCAAGGTGGTTTTCCACTGATGAGGCGAGACGGAAAGAGAAGAGAATTGCCAGTAATAATAGCTCGCGCGAGTCATCGCAACTTCGCGCGAGCTTGCGCTGTGTCTACTACTTTAACCTATGTTGACGAATAAATATATTTCAGTTAATTTAATTTGAATTGTAGTTGTGGATAGTAACAATTCAGTGCAGTTCAGTTCATTTAGCGATAAACATGCGGTTAAAGTAACATGTCCCTTATATTATTATCAATAAATGTTTTAATGGAAGAAGAGTACGTACCCCACAATCTCGCGTTTTGTATTAAAAGCCATCGCGAGCTCGAGGAATCGTGTTTCAATTCCAGAGTATAATACTGTATGTAGGCAGCAATACGGTTCAATATTACATCAACAATTTTTTTTAAACTCTCACTTCGCCTATCCTCATCAATCCAGATCACTTCTGTCGAAGATGCGCTAGGAGATAATTGAAATTTCAAACCTCTTTCGTCTCGCCTCGCCGGTGGAAAAGCGCCTTTACACGAACGTTATGCAATATTCACGACAATGAATTATTTACGCCACAACTTTTTTATTAGAGTTGCTTGTGAAAAAGTTCACCCAAGGAAATACTGCCACCATCTATTTCAGCCATCTAGCAATAATGCTCCCAATCATTGCTTAGTGCATTTTTAAAATTTTTAATGAGCAGTGGTAGTCTAAAGGTTTGAATTACCATCTCTCAAGCAGATGCCGTGGGTTCGAATCGGAAACCGTTTCTCAAAATTTAATTGGGAAATTTTTATTTGAAATCTTGATAAAACCTGTACGTCGAAGAATTGGGCCGGCGTGGCGGACTATGGCCCAAACCCTCTCCTGAGAGGAGACCCTACCCATCTGTGAG